GCGCGCCAGACCGCGGCTGGCGGCCCGACGGCGGGGGAGGATCCGCCTCGGCAGCGGCGTCGCCCTGCGCCTCCGCCTCCGCCTCCTCCGCCCCCGCCTCCGCCTCCGCCCCTGCCTCCTCCGCCCCTGCCTGCGGCGCTGCCTGCGGCGCTGCGGCGGCGGCGCGAGAGCCGGTGAGTCGATCCTCCACCGCGGCCCACGGGTCCGTCTCCTCCGCCTCGTCCTCACGCGGCCGGAGGAAGGCGTCAACGCTCGACGGAGGCGGCTCCGACAGCGCCGTCGCGGGAGGCAGCTCCTTTGCTCGCGGCAGTCGCCGATCTCGTTCATGGCCAAAGATGGCCGACAGCTTGAAGATACCGGGAGCGATGGTCGGCAGGACGGCGGCCTCCGGGTCGGCCGTCTCCGTGGACGCTTCTTCCGCGGCGATCGCCATCTCGACGGCTTCGGCGGCGCTGTCCTGTGCAGGCGCACCGGCTTCGACCTCGTCTGCCAGGAAATCCACTGCGTCCACTGCGTCGTCGAGCGCGGAGAGCGGCGCCGGCTCCTCATCCTCCGCCTCGCTCACGTCGTCGTAGTCGTCGGCCTCAAAGGGAGCGGCCACTGGCGTGGCCATCGGCGAGAGCTGCCAGCGGGGAGGGCTTGGCCGGGGCCTGGGGAAAAGAAAAACGCCAAGCCCTCTAGCGCATCGCTTTCTTTTTCTTTCTTCTGTCGTAACCGACGCCCCCCCTCCGGCCGCGACAATGGGTGCTGCGCCAGAGGCGAACGGACGGCCCTGTCAGCCCAAGATGAGGTCGTCGACCCGCGCTCCGCTGCTCCACCGGATAGACATGGCCGCCAAGCAGGTCGAGGAGATGCGCGCATCCAACGCCGCCGGCTTCCCAACAGACAGTTCATTGGCGGCCGCTGCACAGGCCGAGGGCAGCAGGCTCCAGATGCATCAGAGCGGCGACACAGATGCCCAATTCCCACCCTCCACACGCGTCGCACTCAGCTCTCCGGCTCGTCCAGAGGCCTCGTGCGGCCTCGTGTGGCTCAGTTTGACCCTCAAAACACCGCAGGCCGGCGACTCGACGTCTACACCGACAACCCCCTGCACGCCGCGGCGGCGGCGGGCGACGCCGTCGCCCTCCGACGCCTGCTACAGGTGCCCCCTCTACTCTCGCTCGTCGTGGCGCGTGATCGCCTTGGGTGGGCGCCAGCGCACCACGCGGCGATGGTTGGCCGCCGTGCCCCTAAACAGGTGATGGCCAAGGAGGAGAAGGTGGCGGCGGCCGCGGCGGCGGCCAAGGCGAAGCAGGACGCCGCGGACGCAAAGAAGAGGGCCGAGGCAGAGGCCAAGGCGGCCAAGGCCAAGGGCGGCCCCGCAAAAGGGAAGGGGGGTGGTAAGGCTCAGATGAAGGTGAAGTCTGTAAAGTGACACCCGGGTAAGCGGGGTAAGGGGTAACAGGTGTACGCCGTGCAAAGCACTCTGTACCGAATTTGATGGATCGAAAAAGGCGAAGAACAGTCAGGCTCGGGCTGGACACCAACGCAGTATGGGTGGACGCCGAAGTCTCGTAGGCGCGATTTCTTTTTGTGGCCACGCGTGTTCAGCTCCGCGCAGGCGCGTTATACACCACCGCAGCGCCTGGCCCAGCCCAGCCGAGACCCCCCTCGCACCGACCGCCCACCCCCGCCGCGCGCTCCCGCGGTCGCGCCCTGCTCTCCCCGCTGGGGATCGAGTCTCAGGGGCGCGACGACGGGGGAGTGCGGCGCGTGGCGGCCGCTCTGCAGCAGCCCTCTGCGCTGCGCCCTCTATGCGCGCCTGTCGCCCGCGCCCGCGGCTCTCTCTGGCGCGCCCTGCTCTCCCCTCTGGGGATCGAGTCTCAGGGGCGTCGCCAGCGGGGGGTCTGCGCGGCCGTTCCCCGGGGCCGCGCTGCGCCCGCCACTGCGGCGTGGGCCAGCCCCCCTCCCACGCCCGGCCGTGCGCGCGTCTCCGCTGGACTGGCCGCCGACCTGTCCCCCACCCGCCGCGCCCCGCCCAGGCTTGCGTCGCGATGGCAAAGGGCGCCGGCAAGATCAAGCGGAGCGAAGACGTCGTGACGCGCGAGTACACCATCCACCTGAAGAAGCTGCTGCACGGCATCGGCTTCAAGAAGCGGGCGCCGCGCGCGGTGAAGGAGGTCAAGGCGTTCGCCAAGAAGATGATGGGCACCGACGACGTCCGCGTCGACACGAAGCTGAACAAGTTTCTGTGGAGCCAAGGCATCAAGGCGGTGCCGGGGCGCGTGCGCGTGCGGCTGGCGCGTAAGCGCAACGACGACGAGGAGGCGACGGACAAGCTGTACACGCTGTGCACGCACGTGGTCGTCGAGAGGCACCAGTACAAGGGCCTGCAGACCGTCAACGTCGACGAGTAGACGCACTCGCGTGGCCTGCCGCAGCTGAGCACACACGCCGACCCTTGGCACGGGATTTCGCTCTACCCGTGTTTTCTTTCTTTTGTCTTTCCGTGTCCTAGCTATAAGAAAACGCCCTCATGCGGCGCAAAACGAACATGCGTGTATAATATGCAGCGGCCAGCTCTCGACACGTCTGCGGTCTGGGGCTCCGCGGCCTACCCTGCGGCTGCGCCGTGCGCGCGCGCCCCGCGCCGACCGAGAGACTCCCGAGAGCGAGACCCGAGAGACGGCTCTCGCTCTGTGAGGAGAAGCTGTGAACAACAGTTCCTTCAGCACCCCGAAAATGATCGCCCTTCGGGCACCTTCCCACGCGCCTACGGGCACCCCAACACTCCCACACGCCAATACACGCGCGGCCGGCGCCTCTCATGCCCTTCTCCACGCACACCGCGTGAAAACTGCGCGTACGTCCCCGCGCGCACGCAAACACGCGCAGCGCCATTTCAGAGCTGTGCCATGTGCGTCTGCCCTGTGCTGGCGCCCCATAGCCGGCCCGCGCCGCCCGCACCAGCCACGCGCCTCTCGCACCACCAGACCCAGGCGCACGACCACTCACGCCGCGCGCCGCAGTGCACCTCTCACTGCAGTCTGCGCCCATTGCACAAGCGCCTGCACCTTCTTCAGGCACCATACCGCACCGGAGCGCGACGCGACCGGCAAGACGCTTCACCGCGAGGCGCGCGCGGCGGCACGCCGCGCGCGCAGGCCACCGAGCACGCTCTCCGTCACCCGAGCAGGGCTGCTGTGCAGTCTGCATGCAGACTGCACAGCAGCCCTGCTTGTTCTGAACATTCAGCCCGCGTGCTCCGCGCTGCGCCCCTGCCGCCACGCGCCTGGTCTGCACTGCACGAGGCGCGCGCGTGGCACGCTGCGCGCACGCTCCGCCATCCGTTCAGTCCGCTGTCCAGTCTGCCTGCACACAGCACAGAGCACACACTGCCAGCCTGCCTGCACACACAGCAAAGTACACAGCATACAGCACCATGTGCACGCATACGCCTAACGACGCAGCCCGCACCCCACAACAATAGCCTGCCTCACGCCTCACCACGCCTTCTCGCGCTCACACCGCCAGCAGCCCGATCAGAGAAACTGCAGCGCGCGCCTCTGCACGGGCCTGCAGTTTCTTTCTCTGTGCATTCTGAGACCTTTTCATTCACCCCGCCGCCGCGCCTCCCCGGGCACTCACCGCAGCAGTGAAGATGTGAGTCGAAGTATGGGATATCGACCGAGCCCGCGCCTGCCGGTGCCGCACAAACGACAAAGTTCCCGTTTCTTTCGTTAGACGTTACTGCCATAAGCAAGAAAAGAAAAAAGTGAAAAACGCCGTTATAGAAAGAAAACTGACAGGAAAGAAAAAACACCGCGTGGATTCAGAAAATAAAAGAAAAACAGCCTAACCCCAGTAGGTATAACGCCGAGTGCCAGACCACCAGGGGGCAAGTGTGTGTAGCACCTTCGACCCCGAAATGAAGGTCGCCACGCAAAACCGGGCGCTAGGAGAGGTGAACTGAAGGCTGAGACAACGGAGGCCGAGCCTGAGTGGGCGCCCGCGCGCCCCCACGCAGGCAAGCCTCTGTCCTTCGGCCCACTCCGGCGATCGTCCGTGGGCGGCCGCGGACAACATGGTGCCTAATCAATTCCCCCAACACCCGACCCCACTCTAGGGACAGCAGCGCGCTTCTCATCCCGGAGAGGGAAGGAGGGGGGGGGGGGGCGGGGGGGAGATCAGAGAGCCAGAGCAGGGAGTACCCCCGACGGACGCGAGTCGGGGGGAAAGCGAGACGAGAGATTCAAGGCGAACTTCATCACCCGTCCAGGAGCCCCGCATTAGGTAGCGACCCCAGGTTCAGAGCTAGGCTTCCCGACAGGGCAGGGAACCCCCAGCGCGCAGGCGGGGCCCACGGTAGCCTCGTGCAGTACGCGATACCGAGAGCTGGGGGACACATTGGGCTTTTTGGCCAAAATCGACCACTGAAAATCCGTAGGGTCGCTTAACGGCACCCCCGCGCGGTGCCGAGCGGCCCAGGGCCGGCCAAGGGACTAGACTGGACGGGACCGTGACCGGTTTGTAGTAGTCTACCCCCAAAAACGATTTCTGACCTCTCCCGTGGCCCCGGCGGGCCCCGGCGGAGGTCCGGCGCGGCGCTCCAAATCCGCACTTCGCGAGCTTCTACGGGAGTTCACGCGGCCTCTCCGCCTCGTGAGGCACACCCCACACTCACCACGAGCCCTGGGACTGTGCGCGGATCTTTGGCCGCGGCGTCCGGAGCTTTGGTTGTCGAATATCGGCCGCCAGCTAGGCCATCGAGCGAACGTGTCCGGAAAGGCTCTCGGACGGGTCCGGCAGCGGTGCCATGGACCCAGAAGCTCGCCCCGGCGGAGCACTCACGGCTCGACCCCCGCCCCTGGCCACCCAGACGTGCCCCCGGACCGCCGCAGGAGCGCCGACAGCGGCGATGGTGCTCCGCGACGACGCCCTCCCGACGAAGCCGGATCTGGCGGGCGACTGGCCGGCGGAGCCCGGCGCCTGAGGACGAGGATGGCCGTAATGGACCGGGACGAGCTCTGGGAGGTTCAGTGTCAGTGAGTATATTGTAGAGACTGACCATGTTCACAATATCTTGACTGAGAGCTAAGCCAGGGGAGGCGATGCCGGGGCCGTACAGCAGCTTGATGGTGCTTCGCCGGCGTGCGTCGCCGCCGCCGCGCCGGCCGCCGCCGGGGCCCCGGTTTGGACTGTGTTTGGGGTGGAGGAGGGGTCCGATGGGCGGCGTGATGGTAGTTTATGGCCCTCCAATCACCCACTCACTGCCACCGGCCGTAGGGGCCTCACGGACGTCGCAGTTTATGATTTCAAAGGGTCCTGCCGTCGCTCAGTCCGAACACCTCACTCTGGGGGGCGGCGACCGAGCCCTCCCTGCGCGGACGAGCACATGGTTTGGGACCTGAGCGATGGCAGAGGCCTTCAAAATTGCCCCGTGAGGCCCTGCCGGTTGGGAGTGGTGAGTGGGGGAAATGAGGACCATAAACAAGCACCATATCCCCCACCGCGACCAGCCCACACACAGCCCAAGCCGCTGCCAATTCCGGCCCCGGTGGCCGCCGGCCGGGTGGCTACCGGGGCGCACAAACGGTCCCTCACGAACGCCACACGGGCCACCACGGCCCGTTCCGGCGGTCTGAGTGCCGCCTCGCACCCGCCCGACGCCCTCGGCCAGCCAGCGCCCACTCTGGGAGGCTTCACCG